TGTCTGAATAGCTGAGTGGGCCTTGGCAATAAAGAGCACAGCAGGCAGCCTGTGGACGTGAATAAGTGCGGACTTGATCAAAGCTGCAGAAGTTAAATGCACTATCATTATAAGTTAAACATATTGTCATCCATTTAAAGTAATTTAGCAAATTAGAAGAGTTCATTAGTGATTGGTAGTGTTAGCTGCTTTCTGCCAAAATATCCTGCTGCTTAAATATGAGAGTTAATTGATAGGTATTAAAATTATTATCTAAAAGAAGTAGTACAAGGGAATCCTGATAATATATTTGGTACAAGCATCATCAAAACTGTTTTATTCCTAATTCTGTAATGTTTCATCAWCCTCATTTCTTGAAGTTAAAAGAGAGATTTTGTGTTTTGAATATGTTAATACAGAGCAATCAAGTCACTCACAGGAAGCTCAACTCATTTTAAATATCCAACAACTGAATGTGGGAAAATGCAGAGTGGGGTGGAAGAAATTCCCCAAAGCAAAAGTGACTAGGGTGGGAGGTCAGACTTAATTGTTTTTCAGTACATTAACTCTGTAAATTATAAAAGCAAATTTAAATAATCTGCATGTGATTACAGTGTTTATGCACCATAATCAGTCTACTCTGGGCAGAGTGCATCTAAAAATATCCATCAAGTTTTCAGGATGTACTGCAGGAACATCTAAGTACTACTTGACCAGTTACTGTTACTACTATTTTTGACTCTGGGTACATCTATACTGCAGAGGCAAYGTTGCCTAGGGGCATCTCAACTCTATTTACACAGATATTCTGCCTACTGAAGAGTTGTTACTTTTTGCAGGGAGCCTCTCCAGATGAATTGCTCACACATTTCTGCACGGGTACATAAGGTACTGCACACTGAGGAGTCCTGGCAGCAAATAAACTCTACCTTGCCATGCAGGGACCAGAAAAGGAAGTTATATTTGAACTTGCTTTCGAGCCTTGCTGCAACAGAGCTGAGCATCTTGCATCACAGTTTTTCTTACAGTAAGTTGGAGTGACTCAAGAACTAAGCTAAGAGCTTGGGCTTTGCCCTCAAACCTCAAATTGTCCTCGTGATTAAAAAATAAATACAAATAAAGCTAAGAAGTAGACAACAGAGTATGACACTGCAAGGGATTTCCAGTTCCCTTCTCTAAACGACAGTACCCAATCCCACATGCAAATGCACCAAATTCCTTTGTAAATCCCCTAACACCTCCTGTCAAAAAGCAAGTCCAGAATTCATGGGCAGCTTTGTCCACTCTGGTCTCTTCTCCTTCCACCCTGTATAGCACTTCTAAAGTTGTGTTATACCTGGTTCAACTAATTAAACAGACATTCAGTGATCTCCYTTGGTCTCCTCTAGCACACTTTCCTTTCCCTTGCTGTCCTTCTGCCATTTCAAATCCTGCAACAAGCAAACCAGAACACGCACAAATGAGAGAAGAGATACTAAGCACGCTTACAGGTGAGCTTCCAATGAACTCTGTGCACCTCTTGTTCACAAACAAAATTGCTGATATTGTTTTCTTTTGAAGGAAAAGGCCATGGTCTTGGACTAAAAGCTTCCCTCGGGAGATAAAAGATTTTACTCTACAGGGCACGTGAGACTCTTTCTTAAGCTAGGCTGCTAAAAAACACTTTTTGGTCCACGTGGCATGCACATTAAAGTTTTCTCTGCTGTTGAGGAAATTTAGTAGCAAAGGCAGTCCTCCTCAGTGCTTCACCAAAACTCATACATACTCATATGTCTCACAACCTGCTTACCAGATGGGAAATATAATACAATACTGAGCATTAAAACATTATGACTGAAAGCATGGAAACTGGGACAGCAGGAAATGAGTACTTCTGTTTCTAAGAACAACAAAATAATTTGATCATGTTTTAAAGAAACTCCATTTTTATTCTTTTTTATACTTTGCTAGCAATAAACACAAGTGCATTATTCTTAAACTGATTAATGCACTGTTCAAAATTCCCTAGTAAAGGCTGTAACCATCTAGCACTTTGCTGTTGTCCTACACTGTAAATACAACTGACAAGAACTTTGAAGTGACAGAAACGAAAAGATCTAAATCTTCTAAAAAAAGCACCCAGTTCTTCCACCAGCATATTGCAGTTAATAATCAATAATACAACTGAGTCTTTTTAAATTTGATCCAGAAGGAGGATATAATGGAAGTATACATGACTTTGTTCATCACCATAAAATATAGAACACACACCACGGTTAATGACAAAATCATTTAGAGATATAATTGCTAGGATGAAATGATCCTTTAAATAAGTAAGTATTCATGAATGGCATAAATTATTAATTTGAAAGAAGTTGGAAAGACTCTCCATATGCACCTCAAAAAAAAAAAAAAAACAGGTTTCCAAAAGCACAATAAATAATGTAAACAATCAGGAAATGACATCCTGTGATTGCCAATATTACTACAGGAATATTAAGCAAAAAATTATTTTTAACTGAAAAGGCATAGCCATGTTATGCAGTTGCTTATCTTTCACAACTTTATAATAGAAGCTGCAGTTAGTGGTGTCAACATATCTTTATCATCTTCCCTTGAGAGATTTTCTTTCTGTTTTATTTCTGAAATAACCACCACTTAAAAAAGTGTCTTTATCTCTAAACACCAATAGCTAAATATCATCTTCAACAGAAAGATTAAGGACTTTTTTAGGTCCAAATCTCCACTCAGATGTGCATGGAACTCTAATTGGCTGCACTTGCCTTTTCTGAAGACTGAAGATGACCTTTAATTTTCGAGGTAACTCAAAATTGGTGCTGCTGATTTGAAACCTGGAAGTTTCCTGTGACATGCAAAATATTCCAAAACTCAGTATTTATCAATATTAGCATACCTAGAAAAGTCCTTTTACCAAATGAGTTTTGGTATCTTCAGATTTCTTTCAAACCCTAATGTCACCATGTCAACCACCGATTAATCCAAGGTTAGTGCCAAGAAGCAATAAATGTCCTTTTTTCCCAGCCTTTAAATGCACATTTTACAGTCCTGTTGTAATAAGGAATGTAAGATAATCCCAGAATATTAGGAATACAATGAATTAGGTTGAACTTGCACTTCTCACGTCTGCCCTTAGTAGAGTAAGCAACCACTCCTACTTGTCAGACTGGAATATCCAAGTGGTAGCAGAGAGCAAAGCATTTTATCCAATGCAGTGCAACAATTTCCCAGGTTCTCAAATAAACTATCAATGATCAGTGTGTTTTAGCCATCTAGGCTTTCTAAGGACCTCACAGTTATGACAAACCAGCCCCAAATTTTCAGTTTATCTCAGTAAAAGGGGCTTAAAAGAGGACAGACTAGGCAATAGCCGGGCCTGCCTCAGGGTTGGGAGCAGCAGTTGGCAGCAGTAASAGCTTCAACCATGTAATTTTTATCCATCAGCACTCATCTATCAGAGCTTGAGGCTACCCCTTCTCTTTGTATGAGGTTCAGATGGTCTTGGCCTGACACGAATACAGACATTTCATGGCTGGAATTGATAACTAGAATGGCTTCCATATCACAGTTATGGATGTGTCTTAAATCAGGCMAGTCCTGTTTTGGCCATTCAAGTTCAAATCAAAAGGAATCAAAATAACATTTCTACTTGCTTGAATATATATGCACTTCATCTGATAATACCCMAATCTCTTTAGCTTCATCACAGTGAGGTCAAAGCAAGAAAAGATTTCCCTACCCCAAATATTACAAATGTCACTAATGAGAAAAGTAAAAATGTCACCACATGSARAAAAAAAWATGAAATTAGCACATTTAGAAGAGTATTATACCCATGAGTGAAATAATGCAATCAGCTGGCTGTGAGATAAAGCTAATTTGGTTTCCAACAGTTTATCAACAATGCACTGCTCCTTTATGTTAGCAAATTTAAATGGTACCATATCCTGCAAACAAGAATAATTCACACAGACGACTGTACCGCGTTAATTAAATAGCTGGAACAGAAAGGTCAGGCCATCACAGGCAGATCTGCACATGTGTTACAAAGCAATGAAAAAAAAAATAGAGTGATTTAAAGCCATGCAATAAAAATAAATTACTTAAATGATGATTAACTCCATGGTAAATAAACCCAGAGTTATCCTGTCTGTTCTAGCACTTCCTTTATTTTCCATTCCTTTGTGTTTCTCATAGGATTCTTTCTTGCTGACCCACGCAGGAGTCAAAATAGCTTTAAAGGTGTCATGTGATGAGGTAGCGTGGGGAAATCACCTGTGAGCTCCTCTGCTCACATTAAGGATTACATTTTAATGTGTAGGTATTAAGAGCTTGGGCAGATTCCTATAGGACACCACAGGAAAMCCCCCCTTGCCTAAATTCTGTGTTGTTTTTGTGCCTTTCATCAAGAAAGGCCCAGATCCCTGCCGTAAATTGAGAAAGCTTCCCAAAAAAAAGGTGTTTTTGCACTCAGTTTGCGTTTGCAGAGGGCACGGGGCTAGTTCCCCGGGGGCGCGGGGCTGCGGGCTGCTCTGCGAGGCCCGGCCAGGCCACGAGCGGCCGCGCGGACGGCGGCGACACCGGCACGAATCCCGCCGGGCAGGAGTCCCTGGGGAGCCCCGCAAACCCCCTCGGCCGGCCCCGGGACGGGAGCGGGGCGGCGGGAGCCGGCCGGGCCCG